CTCGGGGGGCCTAGGCAGAGGGCGAGTCAGAGAGGGGTCCGGGTGGGCCGGCACCACCCAGAAAACCGAAGGGCTGGGACCCAGACCCTCGACTGGCCACTGGTCACACAGGGGCACTTTCCCCGTTGTCTGGCTTCCAAGCTCTGTCAGAAATATTTCAGCTCTGTGAAAAGACATGTCTCTAGATAGGCTTAAAAACAAACGAACAGCAACACAAAAGAGAGCTCTGAATAGGAAAAGATACCCCAAAGAACGCAAATGTGCTTACAAGGAGCCACTTCGTCCAACAACAGAGGAAATGCTATAAATGTAGCATTTAAGGAAAAACCGGCCTAAAACAGGGAGTCTCCTGGCGCTGTATGGTTAGACGAGCTGGCTAAGAGTTCAGCAAACTGGGAGTCAGTCCCTAAAGAGAGAGGCCTGGAGCCTTCTCCCCACGGAACCCCTGCTCCTTGCTGCAAGCTGTGCCCCCTCCTAGGGCCAGAGGGGGGCGCCTGCCTCTGCCCCCGACAGCTGCCCCACCCCCTGTCGTGTCCTGGTAGGAACAGCTGTGCTCAAGAGCCTGGCACACCCTCAGCGTCTGTTCCTCCCTCTCGACCCCCGTGACCCCAGATGGTCCTCCCCGGGGTGATGGAGCCGACTCTGCAAACTCCATCTCCGAGTCCAGTCCAGGGTCCTTTCCACAGACCCAAGCCCCTTGGACCCCCCAGGCAGCCAGTGCCCTCACTCTGTCCCATATATGACAAACCCTGGTTGCAGGGAACGGGGAAGAGGGGACCATTAACATTTTTTGAGCACCTGCTGTATGCCATCCTAACAGCAGTTCCATAGAGTAGATATTGTCATCACCCCATTTTAAAGATGTGGAAAGTGAGGCCCGAGAGGCACCAATAGTCAGAGTGGTGTGTCTCGGTTCCACCCCTACCAGCTAGGGGACGTCTGGGAACCCCCTTCCTTCATCTGTGAAATGAAGAGGACTGTCCCCTGCTGAGGCTTAAAGGGGACCATGATGTAAACGCCTAGTGTGGTGGCCGCCCACAGTGCAGCTGTGGACCGGGGGGGGGGCGAGGGGCAGTGCCAGGCCAGGCAGCCTCACCGATCGGCATGAAGGGCTGGGAGGCAGGGCTGGGCCTGGACATGCCGATGGTGTTGACCGCGTAGACTCGCATCTCATACACCACGCCCTCGATCATATGCCGGGCCTCGTGGCTCAGCTCCCGCAGCAGGTCAAAGTTCAGCCGCATCCACCGGTAGCTCTTCTTCTTCTTGCGCTCCAGGATGTAGCCTGATGGAGGGGAGGCAGGAGCTCCAGGCTGGGGCCCAGACACCCCCACACCCCGGCCCTCGGGCTCTATCCCCGTGCCCTCCACTCACCCAGGACCGGCTGGCCACCGTCATAGGCAGGTGGTTCCCACTGCACCACGCAGGAGTCCTCACCCACATTGCTGATCTTGGGGGCTGCCGGGGCATCTGGCACATCTGGGGAGGGGGGTGGACCCACATCAGCCCTGCCCGGGCCCAGGGCCAATGCTGCTAGTTCTCTCACAACAACTAGAGCCTGCCTCCACCACCCCATGGATATTTCTAGAACGCGGCTCTGATCCAGTCACCAGCCTGTGATCAACGCTTTATGGTTCCCCACTGCCCATATTCACCCTAATCCCAACCCTCTCCACAGAGCTGAGAGCACGCCCTGTGATGTTTGTCAAACGACTAAACGAGTGAACGGATGGGCCCTCCCTGGTTGCCCCTCTGTCTTCCCTCTTGGCCCTGGGCCAGCCAGCCTCACCGATGACCTTGACTGTGAGGTTGACCTGGTCCTCGCCCACGGGGTTCTTCACCGTGACGATGTAGACACCCTCATCTTCCTTCTCTGCCCCCTCAACAGTGAAGATGCTACGGTCCTTGGTGGTCTCCACGCGGACCCGGCCCTCGGTCTCACACAGCAGCTGGGGGGGAGGGGAGCTTGGGGAGAAGGGCCCCAGTCGGACCCCACAGGCTTCGACAGCCTCTGCGGTGGCCCGAGGTAGGATCAGAGCTCAGAGCAGGGTCCGGGGAGCAGATGCAGCCTGAGTGGAAACTCTCATGTGAGCGCCTAGTCCCAAAACCTTGATTTCGTGCCTGCCGGGGGCAAAGCACTGGAGCGAGGGTCTTGGGCTCTAGCTCTAGCTCTAGCTCTGTCGTGGAACTTCTCTCTCTGTGCCTCAGTTTTCTCATCTGCTGAATGGGAATAACATGACCTTACAGAGCTGGGGATCCTGAAAGTTCTCAGGTGGGTGGAGGAGCCGATGGTGCCCAGAAAAGCTGACTTGAGTGGTGCCCAGGCAGCTGGTCGTACAGGGAAACCCACTCCCTGGTGGGGAAGCTGGGAGTCAGGGAACAGCCCCGTCAGGAGGGCATCCTAGCAACGTTAAGGGGACTTTGCCCAACTGAGGCACGGGCGTCCCACGGCGACCGTGCCCGGGGCAGGAGCACAGCTAGCCAGATGTGGCGCCTTCACGGAGACCTCACGGAAGGGTGGAGACCATGTAGGCAGAAGAGGACGGAAGGCCAACGAGCTCGAGCCCACCGTCAGCCGCACTCACCTTCCTGTCAAACACCCACTCGTCACTGGCACCTGCAGCCCCCGGGGCATCGGGGGCTGGCCCTGCCGGGACCTTGTTTTTCTGGGAACAGAGCAGGAGGGAAGTGGGGGGCGGGGAACAGGGGCTGACTCAGCCCAGAGAGAATCCCTGCCCAGGGGCGCCTCTGTCCCCCCTTTGCCCCACCCCCACTCTGCTGCCCACCTCACCCACCCCCCTGGCCCCTGAGCGTCAGTGACAGGCTGTAGGTTGTGCCCCCACGTGGGTCGGGGACGGGTGGTCCCATGCGCCCATTTGACAGATGGGGACGTGGAGGAGGGAGTACCTGTGTGATGGTCTTCTGCCAAATCACAGTGGGCGCAGGGTCCCCGGAGATGGGGACATCCAGGCGTAGCTTGTTCCCAGCCACAACCACAATGGTGTCCGGCTTGCGGCCCGGGCAGTCCAGGTGGATCTTGGGAGGTTCTGGGCGGGGATGGGGTAGGTCAGAAAAAGGCCCATGACAGAGGGGGGAAACTGGAAGGAGCACATGTCCCTGGTTGTTTTTAAATCACTCTGAGGCATAATTTACACATAATAAAATGCCAACATTTGAGCACACAGCTTGACGAGTTTTGGCAAATGTGTACACCAGAGCAACCACCCCTCCATCAAGATCTAGAACGTTTCCATTTCCCCCTCCCCCCAGGAAATTCCCTGGGAGGTCTGTAACGCTAGGTCGCCTAAGCATTTCTCACACTGTGTTTAGGGGAAACACCAATGTCCTGCCAGAAAAAAGAAAAAAGACGTTTCCATGGTCAAATCAAGTAGGAAACCCTGGATTAAAACACAGTTTAGCACATTTCTTTACCACGGGATTTTCTAGAGCCTTTGACATGCTAACACAGTTTCTGAATCAGCAAGAGGTGGAGCAAGGTTCGGTGCTTCCCAAACTTACTTCACCATGGAATGCCTTTTAAAATGGAGTATCCTAGGCAGTGAACTTAGTTTGGAAAGCACTGACCTAGAGCATGCCTCAGCCTGGACTATTCTCCTGAAGTTAGGACTCTAGAATGCCTGATAGATGTTTAATCTACAAGCAGCAGGGGTACTTCTAAAAGAAAAGATTTGGGGCGCCTGGGTGGCTCAATCCACTGAGCATCTGGACTCTTGCTTTCGGTTCAGGTCATGATCTCATGGTTGTGAGATGGAGCCCTGAGTCGGGCTCTGGGCAGGGTGTGGAGCCTGCTTAAGATTCTCTCTCTCCCTCACCCTCTGCCCCTCCCCACTCTAAAAACAAATAATTAAAAAAAAAATAAAGGCAGAAAAGATTTAATAATGAAGTCTCACATCATCTCATCTCAACTTTCCTGCCCCCCATGGAGGAGGTCCTATCAGGATTCCCACTTTAGAGATGAGGAAACTGAGGTTTCTAGAGATTATAACTGGCCCATAGTTGTGAGTGGTAGAGCTGGGGCTGGGTCTTGGGGTCCCCACTCCAGGTTCCTTGCTCTTCCTTCTGCTTGGGACTGGAGGGGGACATGGGTGGAGGGGGGCACAGGGAAGAGGTCCCGACACTCACCCTGCCTGGGCACGAAGTCGATCTTGACCTCTGCAAAAGAAGGATGAGCAAGTGGCACGGGGCAGGGGGGTGAAGGCAGAGCCCAGCAACGGGGCCCCCACCCCGGCCGGGTGCCAGCTCACCCATGAGATGGAGCTTGGCCGACAGGTTGCAGGCAAAGCCCTCAGGCACAAAGCTATAGTCAGCCTCGTCCGCAGGCGTGACGTCGTCAATGGTCAGTTTGTGGACCCTGCAGAGAAGTGGTGGCTCAGGGGACCCCCCTGGGCCACCCACCCCCCAGCAGCCTTACCATAGTCAGGGCTCCAAGGGCCCTTGCCCCACCCCTAGCTCAGTGGTGGTCTGGTATTTTAAATGCTTTCTTTCTCTATTTTTGACTTTCCAGTCCCTCACTTGTTTTCAGAGGTAGACAATCTACAAGTGCCCCTTGGCTGGGCCCTTGGAGACTGAGCAGGGGCTGGTCTCACTAATCTCTGTGACCTTGGGCCCAGCACGGGCCAGCCCAGATGCTCGAGGCATGAGTAAGAGAGTGGGAGAGAGTTAGGGCCCCTGGCCAGAGCTGGCCTCCGGGTGGCCTCCTGCCCTGCCCTGGTCATGAGCTGGGGGCCGGGGGCTGGGGGGCTCCCAGCCTGTCTATCTCCCTCACTGCTTCTCTTATCTCTGTCCTCGGCCTCTGCAGGACTCCCTTCCATACGCTTCCATCTCTCTGTCTCTGTCTCTCTTCTCTTTGTCTATCTCAGTTTCTGTCCTGTGTCTGTCTCTCTTTCTGTCCATCTCTGTCTCTGTCTCTATCTCTCTCTTTCTATGTCTCTGTTTTTCCCTGTCTCTCTATGTGTCTCTATCTCAGTCTCTGTCTCTGTCTGTCTGCTTTTCTGTTTCTCCCTCTGTCTCTCTGCCTGTCTCTGTCTCAGCGTCTCCCCCCCATCTGCCTGCCCCCCTCTGCGATGGGGCTGAGCCCCGCACACTCACCGCCCAATGTGGGACACCTTTATGCGGCTGTCGGGCACCAGCTCCTTCCCGTTCTTCAGCCACACGCCCCGCACGTTCTCGTCGGACACCTCACACTTGAACACCGCCTGGTCCTTCGCGCCCACCGTCAGGTCCGCGATGCTCTGGTACACCTCCAGCTTTTTCTCTGGGGGGCGGGGCAGAGCCAGTGAGCTGGGGAGGGTGTGTGTGGGCGTGGGCGTGAACCCCTGTGGCGATCACGTGGGCACGTGCAAACACGTGTGCATGCATGAGTGTGATGCGTGTGTGCAGACGGTGGTACAGTGCACACAAGGAATCTCTAGGGTGGGGGGGACACCAACCAGGTGATCTGACCCCCCAGTGCTCTCTGAGGTCGCCACCTCAGCAGCTGCCGTCTACAGATGAGAAAGGTAAGGCTCAGTGTGTCAGAGTGAGTGGCCCAAGGTCACGCAGGCTTCCATCCTGGGTGGGCCTGGTTCCCGTGCACGGCCGGGGGTGGCGCTGGGGCTGAGCGGCCTCACCCTGCACAATGAGCTCGGCCAGCGCCTGGCCCCCACTGGTGCGCAGCGCATAGTGCCCGGCGTCCTCCAGCGTCGCCTCATTGATGATCAGGTGGTGTCTCTGGCCGTCCTTCTTGAACCGGTATTTGAAGGTCTCCTCCCTGGTCAGCTCCACCCCATCCTTCAGCCTGGCCAGTGGGCGGGCAGCAAGCGCTGTGGCCTCCTTCGCGGAGGCCCACGGTGCGCACCCCCAGCCCTGCCCACGCCCCCATGCCCCAGGCACTCACCATTTGACCTGGGCCCCCTCCTCGGACACTTCACACTCAAACTCCACGCGCTGTCCCACCATCACCAGCTGGTCTTCCAGGGGCCGAGTGATCAGCACGGGGGGCTCTGTCACGTAGGCAGAACGAGACGGCCCCGTCGTCTGCAGCCCTGCCCCCCAGAGCCGCAGGCTCCCAGGGTCCCGGGGCCAGGCCCACCTTTGACGAAGAGCTCCGTGCTGCACTTCTCGCCACCCACCACGCACTGGTAGGCCGCGTCGTCCGCCAGTGAGCACTGGCTGATGGTCAGTGTGCGCTTGGCACCGATGGACTCGAAGATGTACCTGCGCCCCGGGCCGCGGGAGAGTGGGGAAAAAGCCATCACTCACCTCCTGGGCCCCGGGTGCCCTGCGCAACCCCCTGTTGGGACCCCGTGCCCCCGCCCCAAGCCTTCCCCCCGGGAGCCGGGCCTTACTTGCTGTGGAGTAGAAGGGGCCACGGGAGCGTCCCGATGAGAGGAAGCGAGATGAAGGGAAAAAGAGCAAGAACAGAGGCAGAAACAGGAAGATGGGAAATCAGACCCAGAGAGAGGAAAATGGGGAGAGACAGGCAGGAACCGGGCAGAGATAGAGAACATGGGTGGCGAGAGGCAGGGAGAGCAGGCTAGGGAGCCTCCAGGGCCCCCCCGGAGCTCCCGGGCCTGCTCCCACCACCCCCAACCCCACCGCACCTGCCGCTCATCTGGATCTCTTGCCCATTCTTAAGCCACTTGACCTCGGCGTCGGGGTCGGCCAGCTCCACGGTCAGCCGGATCTTGTGGCCCTTGCTCACCTGGTAGGCCGGCTCCAGCTTCTTCTGAAAGGCTGAGCACCGCAGTCATTGCCGCCCCCCCCCGCTCCGCCGCCCCTGCTCCCCCAGAAGGCGCACACCCACCGTGGTGGCCTGTGGCTGTGC